ATTGGTCGACAGAAAATGACAGGCGTCCTAGGACAGGTCAAATGACTGACACACAATTTTAGGGGTCATAAGACGGTCAAATTAGTAGGGAAAAAGTGGTGGGAATCCTTTAACATATCAAATTACTGTACAAAAATGATGAGGGTCCTAGAACTGACCAAATAGTTGACAAAATAATGGACGTCTTAAAACAGCCCAAACTGGTCGACAAAAAAATACCGGTTCTAGAGTAGGTCAAATTGTTCGACAAAAAATTACGGAGTTCCTAAGACTGGTTAAATTAGAAGGAAAAATGTGATAAATGTCCTAAGGCAGATCAAATTGGCTTAACAGAAAATGATGGGGGTCCTAAGATTGGTCAAATTGATTGACAAAAAATAATGGTGAAATTAGTAGGGGAAACTGATGAGTGTCCTAATACAGACCAAATTGGTCGACAGAAAATGACAAGGGTCCTAGGACAGGTCAAATGGTTGACATAGAAGTTTAGGGGTCCTAAGACGATCAAATTAGTAGGGAAAAAGTGGTGGGACTCTTCAGACATATCAAATTAGTGTACAAAAATCATGGGAATCCTAACACTGTTCAAATTAGTAGGAAAAATGTGATGAGGGTCCTAAGGCAGGTCAAACTGGTCTACAGAAAATGATAGAGGTCCTAAGACAGGTCAAATTGGTCGACACAAAATGATGGGGTCCTAAAATAGATCAAATTGATCGACAAAAAATGATGATGATCCTAGGACAGGTGAAATTAGTTGGGAAAGTAATGAGTCTCCTTAAACAGGCCAAATTGGTCGAAAGAAAATGACAGGGGTCCTACGACAGGTCAAATGGTTGACACACAATTTTAGGGGTCCTATAGTTAAATTAGTAGGGAAAAAATGGTGTTGCTCCTAAGACATGTCAAATTAATGTTCAAAATTGATGGAGGTCTTAAGACAGACCAAATAGTTGACAAAATAATGGGGGCTTAAAATAGCTCAAAGTAGACAACAAAAAAAAAATCTGGTTCTAGTAGAGGTCAAATTGTTCGAGAAAAAATGCCGAGGGTCCTAAGACAGGTCAAATCAGTAGTAAAAATGTGATGAGGGTCCTAAGGCAGGTCAAAGTGGTCTACAGAAAATAATGGGGGCCCTAAGACAGGTCAAATTGGTCTATAAAACTGATGGGGATCCTAAGATAGTCAAATTAATTTACAAAAATGATAGTGGTCCTAAGACAGGTGACATTGGTAGGGGAACGTGATGAGTGTCCTAAGACAACTCAAATTGATCGATAGAAAATGATAGGGATTCTAGGACAGGTCAAATGGTTGACAAACAATTTTAGGGATCCTAAGAGGGTCAAATTAGTAGGTAAGAAGTGGTGGGGCTCCTAGGACAGATCAAATTAATGCACAAAATGTCGGGGGTCCTAAAGACAAGTCAAATGGTTGACAAAAATAATGGAAGTTCTAAAATAGCTCAAACTGGTCAACAAAAGTGAAATGCTGGTTCTAAGACAGGCCAACCTGTTCGACAAAAAGTGAGGGGGATCCTAGGACAGGTCATATTAGTACGGAAAATGTGAGGGGGCATTCTAAGGTAGGTCAAATTGATCTTCAGAAAATGATGGAGGGCCTAAGACAGGTCAAATTGGTCGATAAAAAATGATGGGGGTTCTAAGATAGGTCAAATTGATTGACAAAAAATCATGGTGGTTCTAAAACAGGTGAAATTAGTAGGAAAAAATGATGAGTGTCCTAAGACAGGCCACATTGGTCGACAGAAAATGACAGTGGTCCTAGGAAAGGTCAAATGGTTGACACACAATTTTAGGGGTCCTAAGAGTGTCAAATTAGTAGGGAAAAAGTGGTGGAACTCCTAAGACATATCAAATGAATGTACAAAAATGACTGGGGTCCTAACATAGGCCAAATAGTTACTTCATTCTAAGACGCGACAAACTATTCGACAGAAAATGACGGGGTCCTAAGACAAGTCAAATTAGTATGGAAAATGTGGGGGTGACTCTAAGGCAGGTCAAATGGGTCTACAGAAAACGATGGAGGTCCGAAAACAGGCCAAATTTTTCGACAAAAAATGATGGAGGTCCTAAAACAGGTCAAATTGGTCGACAGAAAATGATAGTGGTCTCAGGGCAAGTTAAATGGTTGACGAACAATTGTAGAGGTCTTAAGACGAATCAAATGAATCATCTGAAAATAATGGGGGTCTTGAGACAGGTCAATGATCTGTCAATTTGGTAGCGAAAAAATGATGCCGATTCTGGGTCAGGTCCAACGAAGTCAAAAGTGAGGCAGAAATGGCACCATATACTTTTTTTAATTTACAAATTATTAAATATTCCATTTTATGAAGAACAAAAATAAAGAAGAATTTTTTGCACGCAAAACAGAGAAAAATCGATCACTTTGAAACTGAATTTATGGTTGCAGAGCACATTTAAAATGAATGTAGAAATCATAATCAGTGATCAGTTATATTATATATATATACTTTATTTTTCTTCATTAAATACAGAAAGAGAAAAATTAATAATTTTTATACTGAATTTATGGTTCCAGTTAGATTTTAAAAATGAATGTAGAAATCTTAACCTGATTAATCATAATCATTCGTTGGGGTTTATAAAACCCTGCAGCAGCCAGTAAAAAGATTACTTTTCGGTTGCTTAAGTGAAAATAAAATACTTACCTTCAGTACAATACTTTCACACAAATGCTTACTTTTTATCTGCCGCTGCTTACTCTGGTCATCCATCATCTGGACGTGCTTAATGGTCGAATATACAGAGTGTTAAAAAAATAGCGCACCCACACGATACGTGATTAAATTCACAAGTCTACTAAGTTCAAGGAAAATGATTAAAAAATTCTTTACGTCAACTTGACGTTCACTTACAGAAACAAAATATCGATTTAGATAGAAAATTAGCCACTGTCGTCAGATTCACCATAAACAATTTTTGAGTTCTTTGTAATGTTATAAAATTAAGAATCTATGATAAAGACAATATGCCTTTAAAATTATTTTGAATAATGAAAGTCCAGTCGATTTCAAATACCGAACCCAAAGTACTGAATTAAAATACATATAGTGAAATAAAAAAAAAATACTTTGAAGCGCTATACCTTCTACATTTAAACAAAAGGATGTTTCCAAATATTTTGCTCCATAAATGTTTGATGCGTCATTTGAACGAACAGTCTATATAAACACAAAAAGTCGAAGTTCAGCATGTACATACTTTGGTTATTCGCTATAAATATATTTAATGCTGTCTGTAGGTACCTGTGCGGACTGTGCCCCGATGGATTTTACACTTTCGTAAAATCAAACTAATGTCACTGGGAATTTCTCATTTTAGCGGATGTTTGTGGATAAACATTGATTTAACTTTTTTACGTCATCAACTGTCTGTAGGAAACGAGTAAATAAATTTTAGTTAAATATTTTGTTAATTGTTTTTTACTATGAGTCAGTCCGTTACAGAAAAAACAAACTTATTTACACACAAGCTTTCGGGTATCAAAAGCATAATAAACACCGCAAACATGTGAGAGCGAAATTTTCAATAAGGATTTAAGTATTTTATATTTTCTAAGATGACGTTATTAATAACCTATCGGTTCTAATATATCAGCAAAATTACGCAAGGCGCTTCTGGAATAATTCATAGAACACATCGGCTTTACAGACGTCTTTTTAACACAAAGTGCATTCATAAACAGTTTAAGCATAAGGATGTTCCTCGCACATGCAATTTATATTTTTTTAATACTTGTTTTTATATCTTTGAAAAAAATAAAAATATTAAACTTTGTTCGTTAATTTACTCAGAAATTTAGTCGACTAGGTTGTTATTTATGCAACGTCTAAATGCGTCATGTGTGATAAATTGTTTCTAAATATGAGTTTACTGCTGAAAAACAATAAAACTACGAGAAAAAAATGGTAATGGTAAGTTTTATTTCCCTCAGATAATAATTCTGAAAGTAGTAACAATATTTCAAAATTATTTATAGCGTAATGTTTTTCTTTTTTAATCACCTTCACATTTCTTAAAGTTTATGAGATTCCGAAATTTTCTCTAGTTTTTGCATATCCGGGATGTGTAATTTAAAAATATACAATTTTTATGACACTCACCGAATAAAATATTAAAGTGACGACAAACTTAACTAAAAGTTTCGGTAGTTTGGAAGCTTATTTGTCCAAAAATAATAATCAAAATGAAAACTGAAAAACTGTATTTTTGTATTCTTCAAATATATATATATATATATATATATATATATACATATATAAAGTTTTAAATAGAGAGTACTTACAGAGTTTCGTTCAATATATCCACAGTGACATTTAAAAAAACAACTGAAGACCGTTGAAAGCACGGTAAAAATATGGTTAAAGATACAATTATCCAAATTAATGGAACGCACAAAGCTTTTAGAATTTCGTTTCCAAACAACATTTGGAAAAAAATTGATGTAAAATCAAAAAGCTGTAACACCATTTTGAGATCAAATGACTGATTTGTTTACCTAACAAATTGTTACTTTTTTGAGCATTGTTATTAAAAAATAAAAAATTTGTATCTCCTGTAAAATCAGCGTTCCATAATTGTCCGACATTACATCGCTCTAGCATGCAATTTCCGATCACTGAAAGCTCAATAAAAATCTTCCACTTCACCCACCTTCGTTAAATTTTAATGCCCCAATCGCCGCCCCCTCCGGCCCCAGGAATCTCGCCCCTTCCGTCAAAGACGGGATCTCTGACCGATCCGCCCACGAAAGCCCCAGGTGAATTAATTATCCTCTCACATGGTGGCAGAGCGGCTCTTCGCGTCCTTCCAACTTTTGCATGCAAGTGTGCAGCGGCGTCGGCGCGCGCCAGAGAGCGTCGCGATGGCAACGACGCCTGGTGGGGCGGGCGTCGGAGTGGGGCTTGTATGTCAAGTGTGTCCACTTGTCAGTCAGTGTCAGTACACGCGTTCACTTGGTACCGTCACTGTGGTACGCTCTAGGCCGCTCTATATTGCTGACTCTATCTAGCTCTACACTGCTTGCTTGATTCCGCGCATCATGTGTTCGGACGCCTTGCGCAACGTTGTTACCATCTAAACAAAGGATACTCAAGAGACTGTAAGTTATCCATCACTGTGGTCCTAGAGATGTTGTTCTTCGGTTCTTGTGTTTTGTTTACCTTTGTTTGTTACCTGTGAAGTGTTGGTGTGGCGGAGTCGGCCCTGGTAAGAACGAAAAGCCGCTCTATTTCTTGAAAATTTCACCCAAAAAAATTCTGAAAAATTGAAAAAGGCGCCAAATCGTTGTTAATTCATAACGTCGATTTTATTTAAGTACATTATTTATTTTCTGTACACTTAACCTTGTGCCGCTCATTTATTCACAACTATTAAATCGGTCGATATTTTTTCCTCGTAAATCGACAATGACAGCTGAATAAATTATTGCGTCCTTACTTCAGACGAAATTTTCAGGAAGTTTAGTTTGTTTGGTTTACTTTGGGTTAATTTAGTCGGATATTGTAACCATCAGTGAGTTATTATTTGTGTGCGTGTAAAACCGCTAGAAAATGTTCTATTCTTGTGAGTTCATCGACATGATGGATTTTTTCCGAGAAAAATTACTTCGAAATTTTCCGACTGATTCGGACGGATGAAATCACATAAACAACTTTTATTTACCCGATGTGCTAATGAAGCGCTAAATGGTGTATTTGTCAATGTGTTGTCGGTGGGTTATTCTATTTCGGTGATAAAAGGGGCGGCGTGAGGTATGTGTAAGATGAATCTGCTACTACATTATTTGTAAACGTACGATATATAAATACTTATTTATGTCCAGTGACTCAGTGACTAATGCTTCTTTATTCACCTGTAACATACACATTTTTTCAAGTCTGTTTTAAGTTAAAATTATTCAACAGTTGTGTTTATCACGACTGGTTGTAATTACGTTTTGATAAAATTCTTTACAGTGCAATTAAACGATGAATTAATTTGCGTGTGGAAGTCGCTGTAGTGCAATGTACCTTGAATGAAGCTGCGGCACCATTTTAAACTTTTATGCGAATAATCCACCTCAGTCTCAATTCCAATCACGTTTTCGCTAGCAGCGTGAATAATGAGTGCCTTTAAGCCCTCTCAACACTAAAATGTTGCTTTAGAAGCAAATATTTCAAATGAAAAGCGCACTTTCAGCGCAAAGTTGAACAAATTTTACGAATAGAGCTGAAATTTTTTAAAATATGTAATATAAATAGTTCTGTAAATATATGAAGAAACTCGAAACCTTAAAAGCGAAAAATGTAAATACATTTTATTATTGTTTTTAAGTATCAGTTACAGTGGCTTAACGAAAACATTTTCATCGCCAATTTAACGAAAAAGAAAAACAAATTGCGTTTATAAACGTTTCGTAAATTTTCCTAAATGTGATTTCGTTTTGACTGATTGTAAATGTACTTTCGCATTTTTGCAATTTTGCCTATAGTAAAATCGAAATATAGAGGACAAGAATTTTTATTTTTATTTTTAAATGTACATAGCTCTATAATAACTAAATACTTTTTCATCAATTTACTGTCGCGTGACGCAAATGGTGTCATGAACATGTTTTCATTAACTGCTACGATCACGTGTCACGTAAGAAAAGCATAATCAAATTATTAAAATATAAATCGAAACAAAATAGCTTGTTTTGAAAGTTATATGCGCTGTACAAAATAATTTTCATTCTTCAAATTTTTGACATGTTTTGAAGTAAAATTCTACCCTGATTTACTGGATTACATCAATGTCAATATTTTTTTTTATTTCAATACACTAACCAAAATTTGTATGGTCAAAAAAATTAATGGTGACAATCTCTATATATTAAGTTTCAAGCCTATGAATTGTTAAAAAAAAATCGTGCAAATTTCTTCCAAGTTGTAAATAGTAAGACACTAAAACAACTACAATTATTTTTTTTTATAGAAAAATGTCGATTTAGAATAAAATTTAGTGTAGAGGTTAACTGACATTTTCTTAATAAAATTTTGTCGATAACATCAATACAACCACATTTTTCCGAACATGGCTTTAAATTATCGAAATTCAGAGGCGCAAACGGAGGACCTATTTTTCATATTCTAGAATCTATGGAACGTCGAGAATACTCTTGCAAACACTAACACTGCTTTTATTTTAACTAAAATTTCACTGTATCAAAGAGTTATTGTTTGAATTTTTGTTAAAAAATTTGTCCAAGGTTATTTAGACAGAACTTCCCTTGTCTTTGAAGTACACTAGAACAGATGCAGTTTCTTCTATAAATTATAAATTTTAATTTTACGAATTCTATTTTTTTATGATAACCCCTACAAGTTAAAATAAAGCTATATATGGACTGCTAAATTGAAGTGAGTAATATATAGAGTATACATAAAAAATTTGATAAAAATCGGTCAAGAAGTTTCGGAGATTAAAAATTGACACAGACGACCAACAGACGCAAAATGAAGGCCATTTTTTTGGAACTCTAGGGGTCATAAAACGTCGAAAAATCGCGAAAGTAATCAGTCGTCGATGAATTTCGTTTACGTTCGGAACGTTCAAAATCCAACGTTTAGAAATAATTTAAAAAATCAATAATAATTAATAAATGGTGTCAACAAAATCACACATTTATCTTCAATAGCAAGTTGTGACGTGGAAAATTTTATTCAGTGAACTTTTTAGAATGCACTACTAAAAAGATTGCTTAAAAGTGGTTCATATTGTATTACAAACATACCATTAAACTAAGCTTTTAACACATATCTATACCTTTACTAACAGGGGAAACATTGTAAGCAGTTAAATCTTAGATAGTCGCTTTATCTATGATGATTATAAAATATTTTATAATTTAGTTAGAAGTGAAGGCCAGATTTTGAAAGAAGTATTTTACGTATTAGCGGAGATACTGACGTAAATTAAAAACTCGTATTGTTCAAACATATAGTTGACATAAAATGTGATTTTAACCCCTATATAAATTAACAAAATGTAGATAATTCGAGTCAGTGTACAAAAAAATGTCGCCGAGGATGGGATTCGAACCCACCAGTAGACTTTAACTTCAATGTCTTAACTATTCAGCTTACTTGTTTCATGCTTCAGTGAAATATAAGTTACGTGAAATAGCGCCAAATATTGTACAAACATTTTTGTAAAGTCATTGTAATAAAAAAAAATAAAGGTGGATTCATAAAGCACAAGTACAGTAGTATGGTATTTTATAAAATATAAATAACATTTATCGAAAAAACAATTTTAGGTGACGTCAACGAATCTCCCTAAAATACATATAAAATTTGATAACAATAGGTGCTAAAGTTTCAGAGATTATTATCAATCTAATAAAAATCGACACACAGAGAGAACAAACAAACAGACAGACAGCCGGAAATGGGAGACATATTTTTTCATACTTTTGGGGTCATAAAACGTCGAGAAAACAAAAGTAAAAAAAACTATTAGAGATGTCAATGACCACAAACAGTAGGACATATAACTTGATTATATCAATAGATTTCGTCAAATTTTGGAGAAAACAGAAAAATAAAAAATTTTTGACTTCAAAATTGCAGTAAATAAAATATAAAACATAATATTAGTATTGAAATCATTGAAAAAAGAAAGTTTAATAACAGTTTCAGACAATGTTCTAGGACTCTTCAATGAGTGGTATGACTTCTTCAATTTTTAGAGGAAACAAAAAAAACAAAAAATATTTGAATGCAAAATTTGAATAATTAAAATAGCGGGAATAATATTGGTACTGAAGTTATTTAAAAAAGAAAGTTTAATAAAAATTGTACACGATTTTCTGTGATTTTTAAATGAGTGTTGGAGTGTTGGTGTTAAAAATCAAAATTTACTTTGCCCGATTTATTTTGGTATGACTTCGGCCATTTTTGTACGAAACAAAACAATGAAGAATGTTTGACAAAAAAATTTGGGAACATAAAATGACTAAAATGGACCCTGAAGTCATTTGAAAAAGAAAATTTAACAAAAATTTTATACGATGTTTTATGAATCTTAAATCAATGTTGGTGTTAAAATTTAAAATTTAATGAGCCCGATATACATTATTTTAGTATGATTTCGTCAATTATTGGAAAAAAAAAATTTTTTGACTGCAAAATTGTAGTAACAGGAGAAATAATTTTGGTACTAATATCACTTAAAAAAGAAAGCTTAACAAAAATTTTATACGATATTCTGTGATTCTTCAACGAGTGTTGTGTTAAAAATCAAAATTTTTAATGACCCCCGATATAAATACATTTATTTTGGTATGACTTCCTTAATTTTTAGAGAAAACAAAAAAAAATGAAAATGTTTGAATGCAAACTTTCAGTAAATAAAAAAGGAGGAATAATACTCATACTGAAGTCGTTTAAAAATAAAATTTGACAAAAATTGTAGACGATTTTCTGTGATTTTTTTTAAGTGAGTGTTGGTGTTAAAAATAAAAATTTACTTAACCCGATTTATGTTGGTATGACTTCGGCAATTTTCGGAGGAAATAAAAAATTTTTAAATGTTTGACTGAAAAAAATTTGAAAATAAAATGGGAGAATAAAAATTGATCCTGAAGTTATTTCAAAAAGAAAATTTAACAAAAATTTTAGACGATGTTTTATGAATCTTAAATCAATGTTGGTGTTAAAATTCAAAATTTATTGAGAATGAGTGCATTAATTTTTTGAAAAAAAAAATAAAAGTTTAAGTTCTATTTTTTAGTTTATACATGGAAATAATGTCAGAAATTTGTTTAATTTGAATGACTTGTCTCCTCAAAACAAACGACTAAAATTATTAATTAAGCCACAATGGAACACAATGTTTTGAAGATGAATATTATTATTTTTATTTGATCATAAAAAAAAAATAAAAACGTGGGTGTTCTCACATTTTCTAGAAAATGAGGTTCTTAATTTGATCGATAAAAAATTGGTCAAAGGCTATAAGCACATATAATCCAACAAATCCAGTTCTTTAAAAAAATATAAAATTTGATTTTATGATTTTTTTTGTGATAACCGCTGAAAAGTAAATAAATAAATAACCTCTTGTCCTTCAGCACTAGCTAATAGCAATCTGAAGCTCAAGTGTTTATTTATGTTTATACATCGAAAGAATGTCAAGTAGAAATTAGTTTGATTTGAATGAATTTGTCTTGTCAAAACACAGGA